TCCTGGAGAGGTTCCTTAGCTTTTCTGCATTTTCATTTTCTCTTCTGAAACTTTAAAAGACCCTGAAATTCTGCTTATTTAAAACATTTGCCTCTTTCCCATTTATCTAAATTTAATCCACACTTTAAGACCTACATCACATCCCTCTTCTTCCAGTCTTCTGCCTTGACAACCTCAGCTTAGGGTTGCCTTTTACTCTTCCCATTTTACTTTTACAATTCATACTTGAATTGTATGAACCGTTTACTGCAAAGAAGAGAAGACATAAAGTAGTGTCTTCTCATCCTGACAAGATTACAGATTCCTCACATCTTCCACGTATGCAGTTTACACTTTACCCTTCAAAGTCACCTGAGGAGAGAATCTTTCAGCCTCTGTGTCTTGATTTGTGTCTTCTGTGCAGGCCCTTGGACGGCTGGTCCTGTATGTTGTACGGAAGGGAGGCATCCCTTTTGAGGAGCTAGAGGCTAAAAGTAATGAAGAGGTGATTAAAGACTCTCCGGATGAGGAAACAAGAGATCTTATTTGTCACCTATTTTGTCCCGGGGAAAACTTGGAGAGACGACTGAGTAGCTTGCTGGGTCACCCCTTCTTTTGGAGTTGGGAGAGGTAAGTGGGCTTCAAGAATGAAGATGGTGTGGGCCAGGATCTTGGCTGCCCATTCGGTTCCCACCCCTTTCTACCTAAATTTCCATATACACTTTACTTGTAACCTTATATTTTTACAATAATGGTCTTATGCAGTATTTGTCCTTATGAGACTGAGTTAGTTCACTCAGCATAATGTTCTCCAGTCTCTCCCACCTTATGTGGAATTTTCAAATTGTTGCTTCTGTCTGTTGCATAGTATTCTTTTGTGTGAATATACTTCAATTTCTCAATCCATTTGGTTGTGATTGGACATTTGGACTGTTTCCATGTGCTCGTGGTGGTGAATCATGCTACTATGAACATTGGTGTACAAATCTGTGTTTGTGTCTTTATTCTAATTTCCTTGGGGTATATTCCCAGTAATGAAATAGCTAGGTCATATGTTCTAAGTTTTTATGTTCAGCTTTTTGAAGGAATGCCTAACTGCCTCCAGAGTGGTTGTACCATTTTACAATCCCACCAACAGTGTATGAGAGTTCCCAACTCTCCACATCCTCTCCAACATTTATTGCCTGCTAATTTACTTAGCGTTGCCTCTCCTACTGGGTTGAGATGGTATTTCATTGCGGTTGCCAGTGATTTCAACATTTCTTCATGTGCCATCCAAATGTCTTCCTCTGTTAAAAGTCTTTCCATATCTTTTGCCAATTTTATAAATGGGTTATCAGGCTTTTTCTTGTGGAGACCCTGTTGTTGTTAGGTGCTGTCGAGGTCAGTACAGCTCATAGTGACCCTGTGAATAGCAGATCTGAACCTCATCCTATCCTGTATTATCTTCACACTTCCTGACACACTAGCGGCCATTGAGTAGTTACCACGTCCATCCTCCTGGTTGAGGACCTTCCACCCTTCCAAGCATCATATCCCTTTCCAAGGAATATCACCCTCTAGCAACATGTCCAAGTATGTGAGGTGAAGCCTCATCATCCTTGTCTCCAAAGAGTACTCTGGCTGCAGGCTCTCCAAGATATATTTGTGGGGTTTTTTGGGGGGGGGAGGGTTTGTTTTTTGTTTGTTTGTTTTGGCTGACTGTGGGATGTTCAGTGCTTCTAACACCACAGTTCAAAAGCATCAATTTTTCTCCTGTCATCCCTATTCATTGTCCAGCTCATATAGCAAGTAATCAGGAAAACCATGGCCTGAATCAGAGGTATCTTAGTTCTCAAGCTGATGTTATTACTCTTCAGTAGTTTGGAGAGGTCCCTAACTGCAGACTTTCCCAGTGCAATATGTTTACCGATTTCCTGACTGCTGGTACCAAGGGTGTTAATTGTGGATCCAAGTAAGATGAAGTTGTGGACAGTTTCAAGCTCCTCTCTATCCATCATGATGTTGCCTATCAGTCCAGTGGTAGGAATCTTTGATTTCTTGAAATTGAGATCTTCTGCAACAAGTGCTTTAAGTCCTCCTGCCAGGAAATCTGGAGGACAGCCAGCTGGCCAACTGACTGGAAGAGATCGATATTTGTTCCCATTCCAAAAAAGGTGATGCAGCAGAGTGTGGAAATTATTGAACAATATCATTGATATCACATTCACGCAAGATTCTGCTGAAAATTATCCAAAAATGTTTGAAACAATATGTCAACAGAGAACTGCCAGAT